ATTTTTGTTTCTCAAATTCCCCACCAGAATAAAGATCACATTGGAATTAGCTTAATTTGAGAATTTAATCAAGATTGGACAAATTCCAATAATAAAGTTGCGATATTAAAAAAGATATATAATGTGTTTGGACACTATATATATATCTCTATGTAATTATACAGTGTTTTTATGCTCATAATATTGTTAGCATATGAACAACGTCCTGAAACTTAGTAAATAAGTTTGTTTGAACCTGGTCTTTCATCTGATTGGGTTATAATTTTCTACAATACTCTAATTATTTGATATTTAAGCTAGAAGCAGTCCCTTGCTTGTTTTGCTTTGTTTTTTGTTTTTTTTCACTAGCTAATATATGCAGTGTAGTGTAGGCCAGCTATAGCTAAGCGCCTTTATGCGATAGTTCTTTTTGTGCGTACGATAAAAACATGTATAACATGTTAATTAAAAGCGAAAATATAATTGATAAACATATTTAGAGAGGGTTACATTATAACCTCGTGCCCCTCTGTCTAGTTTAACGTCTGGATATCAGACGGGAGTGCTATACATTGTCATTCAAGTCAAGGCGAAGAAGTGAATATTTAACAATGGCCTATGAGTCATTAGCTCATAGGATATTGAACATAGTCAATAGGCTATTGACTCGTAGTATGAGGGCTAGAGGTCTAATCGTTAGTTAGGTTTTAGTCTAAACCTACTGAACGGTGAAATAAATGGATAAAAAAGAAGCTGCTTAAAAAGGCAAATTAGACTCCATAGTTCTAGTCTTGAAACCAGCTCTTTTCGTCTGCCGGTCCATCATCAATAAACAAGCTCAGCCAATCAAAGCGCAGGATTTTTGATAGCTCACTGTAGTAGTTTTAAACTAATTGCAGTTTTAGATCAACCTTATTCAGTTAACCTTATTTAGTTTTAGGTCAATCCCATTGGGATTGATAATTTTACGTGATTTAATTATTCAAAAATAAAACTTCGTTGTGGTGCGAAAAATATCTTTCCAGAAATAGCTTTGTCAAGGTAAAAAATTATCTTAACTAGCCCCACTAGTGTCCTTTGCCGAGAATAGCATAACGTGAAAAAGATTGTCTTCCATTAGCTTTTTTGGGATTGAAATCACCTCCCCTACCTCCAGCGGCCTCGCTTGCATAGGTACCATTGGGAGTCCTTACATCTTCATGTTTTTGTCTTGTGGTAGACACACGCCTTGGACCGCCTTGTTCTTGGCCATTAGAGATTGTTCTGTGAGATGACTCGCCGTCGACCACGACCATGTTCCTAAAGTCATAAAGGGGTGGAAATGTGGTTTCATTTTACTGTAAAAACTTGAGTTCAGGATTGAAAATGTAGATGAGCAGTTTGTACGTTTTCGTTAAGTTAGTTGCCATGGCAACAGCACATATGAACTTTGACCCTTAATTTAAGAAAACTTGATTAAAGGCCTCGGGATTGGGGATAGCAAAAAGTTAAAGCATCAGTATATTGTGACATTGTAGTCTCTGCTAAAGTTTCATGCAAAAATCCTACATAGTTGAGGAGATGGACCACCCGCTCTTGATTTGCAGGAGTCATTTTACTCCTGAAGACGTTATAGTTTTATTATATCAACAAGAACTGACTGGAAACGAATAGAAAAAAATAGATCAAAACAGGACCAAGAGTTTTGCATTGAGGTTTCACTCCAGAAACAAATGAATTTACAGATCAGTTTAAGGTCAACCTTATTTATTCAACCTTATTGGGATTGTATAGTAGTAATACATTATGCGTTCGGTTTATTGGGATTGATAATTTTACGTGATTTAATTCGGAAATAAAAACTTCGTTGTGGTGCGAAAAAATATCTTTCCAGAAATAGCTTCGTCAAGGTAAAAAATTCTAAAAGATTCTATTTCCCGCAGGTACACATAGAACATCCGCTAGGTCCGCCCTAGCTAGCTAGAGCTGTAAAACTGCTTGCGCGTCGATCCAAATGACGGAATAAATCTTTCGTTCTGGCTCATGATAGACACCATTGCCGATTGACCATGCTAGATAAAGTAAACATTTAATATATGAAAAAGTATAAATATATGAAACTGGTAACGGTTTTAATAACACGACGTTTCGGAGTCGTCATGACGCCATTATCAAGTGTAAGATAACAAGAAGATTGCAAGTGATTGTAAATCAATTAAATGAAATTTACATACTGTAACAATAGGTACCTCGTGTTACCAGTTTCATATCTTTATCCTTTTTACTATGCTTCTCTAAGCAGCATTTAATATATGCAGTTGTATAATACTATTGAGCTCAACAAACGCAGCCTGATCTCAACGAAGTGAACGAAAAATCACTGGGAAATGGAGATATTTGTGGYATCTTTTTCACGGTCCGGTTTCGACCCAGTCCTCCTAAGATATTAAACTCGRAAATAGCAACGACTAACCATATTCCTACCTGTTTTCAATAATACTTTAACGATTTGATGGCCTGTCAACTATTTCTTCTGGTATTTTTATGAAATTGCATTGCACAACGCACTATTTTTACAGATTTTCCAGCCACTTTTTTTGTGCTTGTGTGACATAAGCAACGGTAACTAATATAAGGGGAGTCGGAACCCATGGGCGTACGTGGATTGGTTGATTGTTAAATAAATGTTGCCAACCAGAAATCTATTGGACAATCCAACAAAGCAAAGTGACAAAACCTATCGTTAAAATGGACGTATAGGNCGCAATTTTTCTAAAATTTTATTTCGGTGATTGTGATTATATTCTGTACACCCAATCTTGATCTTTTAATTATCTAATTCAGACTACCAAAGGCCGTAACATAAAAATATGATACACGTAACTAAAAATACAATTACATGACTGGATTTTTGTTTCTCAAATTCCCCACCAGAATAAAGATCACATTGGAATTAGCTTGACTTGAGAATTTAATCAAGATTGGACAAATTCCAACAATAAAATTGCGATATTAAAAAAGATATATGATGTGTTTGGACACTATATATATATTTCTATGTAATTATGCAGTGTTTTTATGCTCATAATATTAGTCAATAAGTTTGTTTGAAGTGGGTCTTTCGTCTGATTGGGTAGTTTACTACAATACCCTAATTATTTGATTTTCAAACTAGAACCAGTCTCTTGCTTGTTTTTTTCACTAGCTAATATACAATGTAGGCAAGAGAAAATGAACTAAGAGAAGGAATCCCCCCTATATAGCCTTGTAACCATCATTTGCACAGTTTAATGCTATTTTTAAACCATTTGTTTTTCTGCACGCGCATTTACTGCGCGCGCTCTACGCTGTTTGCTTACGTTTTTGGGGGTTTTCCGTTATTTCAACTCTGCCCTGAATATGAATGTGCACGTCGAAAGCTTGGCAAATACGACAGGAAATTGAAGTAGTAATTTGTTCAAATTTCTGGAGTATATATTTCCAGAGCTTTCGACCTACATCGTCATCTTAAGGGCAGATTTGAACATTTGAACATAAGAAAAGCACAAGGTGAAAACGTTAGCAAACAGCGTAGAGCGCGCGCGTACTATGCGCGTGCAGAAAATCAAACGATCAAATAAATGATATCATTGGATGATATTTTTAGAATAGATTCTAAAAATAGCATCAAAGTGTGCACATGATGGGGCACGGGGATTCCTTCTCTTAGTTCATATTCTCTTTATGTAGCGGTAGGCCAGCTATAGCTAAGCGCCTTTATGCGATAGTTCTTTTGTGCGTACGATAAAAACATGTATAACATGTTAATTAAAATCGTAAATAGATTTGATAAATATATTTAGAGAGGGTTACATTATAACCTCGTTCCCCTCTGTCTAGTTTAACGTCTGGATATCAGACGGGTGTGCCACACATTGTCATTCAAGTCAAGGCGAAGAAGTTATATTTTAGTTATATTTAACAATTAGACCAGCTGTCGGAATGGTCTACGAGTCATTAGCTCATAGGATATTAAACATAGTCAATAGGCTATTGACTTGTAGACCACGAAATCAAGAGGTCTAATCGTTAGTTAGGTTTTAGTTTAACCCTACTGAGCGGTGAAATAAATGGATTTTAAAAAAAGCCGGTTAAAAAGGCGAATTAGACTCCATAGTTCTGGTTTTGAAACCAGCTCTTTTCGTTACTAGCGGTCTATCACCAATAAACAAGCTCAGCCAATCACAGCGCAGGATTTTTAATAGCTCATTTGAGTATTTTTAAACTAATTGCAGATATTTTTAGGTCAACCTTATAGAGATTGATAATTTTACGTGATTTMATTCGGAAATAAAAACTTCGTTGTGGTGCGAAAGAAAATCTTTCCAGAAATAGCTTCGTCAAGGTAAACAATTATCTTAACTAGCCCCACTAGTGTTCTTTTTCGTGACAGGCATACCGTGAAATAGATCGTCTTTCACCAGGTTTTCTGATACTGAAATCATGTCTCCGTCCTCCAGCGGCCTTGTTTGCATAGGTTCGTCTTGCGGTAGACACAAACCTTGAACCACTTTGTTCTTGGCCCTTGGTGCTTGATCTGTAAGACATATGGAAAAGGCAACGTTGTAGTTTTATGATATCAAGAAGAACTGATTGGAAACGAATAGAAAAATAGATCAAAACAGATCCAGGAGTTTATTGAGGTTTCACTCCAGAAACAATTGAATTTACAGATATCAGTTTTAGGTCATACAACCTTGTTTAACGATAGTCAACCTTATTTAGTTTTAGGTCAACCTTATTGGAATTGATAATTTTAGGTGATTTAATTCGAAAATAAAACTGTTGTCAAAGAACATTTTTCCAGAAATAGCTTTGTCAAGGTAAACAATTATCTTAACTAGCCCCACTAGTGTCTTTTTCCGAGAAACGCATACCGTGAAAAAGATCGTCTTGCACTAGGTTTTCTGGGACCGAAATCATGTCTCCGTCCTCCAGCGGCCTTGTATGCATAGGTACCACTGGGAGGCCTTATATCTGCACAGTTTTGTCTTGTGGTAGACACAAACCTTGGACCCCCCTGTTCTTGACCCTTGGTGCTTGTTCTGTAAGATATATGGAAAATGCAACGTTATAGTTCTATTATGTCAACAAGAACTGAATGGAAACGAATAGAAAAAATAGATCAAAACAGGACCAAGAGTTTTGCATTGAGGTTTCACTCCAGAAACAAACGAAATTACAGATCAGTTATGACTGAGAGATTCTATTTCCCGCAGGTACCGTGAGAACATCCGCCAGGTCCGTCCTAGCTAGCTACTAGCACTTGTAAAACTGCTGGCGCGTCGATCCAAATGACGGAATAAATCTTTCGTTCTGGCTCATGATAGAAACGATTGCCGATTGACCAGGCTAGATAAAGTAAACATTTAATATATGTAGTTGTATAATACTATTGAGCTCAACAAACGCAGCCTGATCTCAACGAAGTGAACGAAAAATCACTGGGAAATGGAGATATTTGTGGTATCTTTTTCACGGTCCGGTTTCGACCCAGTCCTCCTAAGATATTAAACTCGGAAATAGCAACGACTAACCATATTCCTACCTGTTTTCAATAATACTTTAACGATTTGATGGCCTGTCAACTATTTCTTCTGGTATTTTTATGAAATTGCATTGCACAACGCACTATTTTTACAGATTTTCCAGCCACTTTTTTTGTGCTTGTGTGACATAAGCAACGGTAACTAATATAAGGGGAGTCGGAACCCATGGGCGTACGTGGATTGGTTGATTGTTAAATAAATGTTGCCAACCAGAAATCTATTGGACAATCCAACAAAGCAAAGTGACAAAACCTATCGTTAAAATGGACGTATAGGGGGCAGAGCATCATAATAGCAATGTTTATATAAAACAATTAAGATATCCACCTATTTAATATCATGCATAGCATGTTTTACTATGGGTTTTAAGAAATGCTTACCCTTGCGGTAGCTTGCGGTTTGTTTGTGTCCATATATCTTTAAGCTGATCTACTGCCTTGACGTTATGCTTTCCTAACTTCTCCCTTCTTTTCAATTTGTTTTTCGCAGCATCTATGACCTTTTCTGTCAAGGGTGGATGAGCAGTTTCGTTCCCTCTCTTTTTGACCGGTTTTAGCTGTTTTATCCAAAATTCGTTCCAATTGATTTCTTTCTTTAACTCTTCCCATCTTAACCTTGCTTTATTTTGTTCATCTTCGTCTTCAATTTGCGTTGAAATGTAATTTTCCATATCCTGAGTCCTTTTGTTCTGAATTTCTTCGAAATATCCCTGCAGCACAATCCTCGAGAGGTTTTCCTGAACGCTTGAACAGAGTTGCCGAATGATCAACTCATCTTCAGAAAGCTCAGACTTCTTTAATTTTTCATCTAAGTTTCCTAACTTTGTCTTCAACTCTCCGATTTCCTTTTTGGCATTATCATCAATTTCTTTCATTTGTTTTTCAAGGAATGTGTTGCTCTCTTCTAAGTCTTCCGTTTTCATCTCCAACTCTTTGATATTTTCTTGAAGGGTATTGTTTTCTTCTTTAAGTTTTTCTATTTCTCCTTTAAGTCTTTTTATTTCTTCTTCCAGCTCATTGATTTTGGTTTGACAATTCTCATCATGGTCTTTCAGTTTCTCTTCTAATTTCCTTAGCTTTTCTTCCATTTCAATTTGGATTCTCTCGTTTTTCTTGATATCGTCTTTCAGTCTTCCTACGTAACTAGTCTTACCTTTATCGGCCATCACTGAAGCTGCCCTAAAGATAAATGTATGTAAGCAATAATGGTGGTAGAATGAAAAAAAAAAAAAAAACATTCATCGTAGCATTGTAATAAAGTAGACGCTGTAGGCAGCGTTCACTGGGATACCTGGAAGGGGGAGTGGAGGACCTGCTTTCAACATGCATGGAGTATTTAGTTGATTGAGCTTCCAAAAATACTGATAAAGTAGTACTGATAAATAACTCAATTTGGATTTTGGCATACGTTATAATTAGGTTTGAGCATAAACGTGCACATTCGCACGGGCATTGTATAGCTCGCTTTAAAATCAAAATGCTTCATTTAAACGTAAATTCGGGCTAATATTTGCTCCAGACCTCTCTCATAATTGCTTTACATTTTATAATTTTATAATTTTATAGTTTTTCGATATTTTTTAATGAATCACCATTTTTTGAAGAAAAATTAAAGGAGATCATAACGCTTCGAACGGCAAAGATCAAACCCTGGAATGTGCTTAGCAAATTATTTATTTTGCTTCTTAAATCAAATAGAATCTTAAAATAAATATTGCTATGTACCTTATGTTCCTTTGTGAGTAGACTTTGAAGCCAAAACAGTTAATATAAATACATAAATGTAGGCTATAAGAATATCTATATTGTCATGCTGAATGGATTTGCAGCATCGCTTATCTTAGAAATTCTGACTTTTGAAACCCTGTTCTCCTTACCGATCTTCGCTCGTTCGTGCAGAAAATACTGCTCGAGTAAATGAATCATGAAGAGTAAACCAAAACAAGCTATTGCTCATGAAGTTCATTGAAAACTTCTTAGAAATAATCGCTTCGAAACCATCGGTATCTTCTTGCCTTGAAATCCATGTTTACGAAATTGATAAATTATTATTTCTAGTTCGGCTGTCTTGAATTACAGCAGTCAACAAAATAGAGCATGCGTAGACATAAACCTCTGCCACGTGGTCTGGTAGCTCCGCCCTCTCATAATCACTTGACAACATAGTGACATTGATTGACATCTGGTACATGATAATTGATTGGACTATTGATGTGAACCCCACAGCAGATGCCCGAAAAGGTCTCTTGGGTAAGTTCCTGAAGACCCCTGGGTACTATTGCGCAACTTTCTCATTTTGTCGTGGAGAAGACAAAAAAAAAAAAAAGACATTTTAATGACTGTGATACCACAGGTATCCCAGTAATGATACTTATTCGTTTGTCTCACGTGAGGGTCTTTTGTAAAAAGAATCGCACACAGTCCGCATCCTACAAATGACCCTMAATCGTGCGTGAGACAAACGGAAAATATCATTTATTACTACTCTTCCCAGTAGACCGAGGTAGTTGTGATTTTTTAATCGCCTTCGTAGCGTCTGTTATGTTATCCGCAAGTATATTTCAAATCGACCACGTGATGCCAATGTTGTACCACGAGGACAAGTTTTTTACACCACGTGATTAAAACTTGACTGAATTTTGATCACGTGGTGTAAAAAACTTGTCCTCGTGGTACAACATTGGCATCACGTGGTCGATTTGAAATGTACTTGCGGATAACATAAAAGACGCTACGAAGGCGATTAAAAAATCACAACTACCTCGGTCTACTGGGAAGAGYAGTAATAATAATGGTGTTAGCTGGAATAAGTGAGGTGAAACTTTCATAAAATGCGTCGCAAGTCGTATTCAGTTTTAAATAAATGGTATAGTAGTTTAACAATATATTCCTTCGAGTATTTTTATAAATTGGTGTTTTTAGGCTTTATATGTGAATAGTTTATTGATTATAGTCATAAGGTCAGTTGTTTTGGAGTCAGTTATTCTGTTCAACGAAAGATCGTACAAGAGCTGTGAGGAGCAGGAGCAGGGTATAAAGAACCTCGTCAACTATTCGAAGACCGGAGTAGTGGGTTAAGAGATATACAAGAGAAATTCCAGGTTGTTGGTGGAAGCTTAACCACAGGTAGCCCAAGCTTGGTTT